CATGGTGAAACCCCGTCTCTACTAAAAATACAAAAAATTAGCTGGGCATGGTGGCGTGTGCCTGTAATCCCAGCTACTCAGGAGGCTGAGGCAGGAGAATTGCCTGAACCCAGGAGGCGGAGGTAGCAGTGAGCCAAGATCGCACCATTGAACTCCAGCCTGGGTAACAAGAGCGAAACTCCGTCTCAAAAAAAAAAAAAAAGATGTGATGGCAGTGTAAAGAAACAGGATTTGCTCTCAGATCAGCAAGATTAAATTATAGCTTGATGAATTCTAGTCTATTTAGTATTATATAGATTGGATTATAGCTTGATGAAACATAGAAAATGGATTTTTAGTCACATAGAAAATTGATGCTATGACAGGAGTTGGTCAGAGAGGTTTGTGTTGTCTCTTGCTGTCTGGACCCTTCTAAATACTGTCCAGGGACGAGATGCCCTTGTACATACCCCACCCACCATTTCATTCTAAGCCAGCAGATGTCAGTCACCACTATAAAAGCAGAGTCTGATAGCACTAAACTTTTGAGTCAAATAATGGACTCCTGTAATCCACAAAGCAACGTCATGATAATTTGGCTTACCATGTAGTTTATCTACATGGAGAGGCTATATTGTTGCAGAATATTCAGGAGACCAGAGAGACCACTGGGTGAAACAGGAGGATTGTGTTAAAGGGGCCGCTGGCTCAGTGGATTAGCATCCCAAGGCTGAGCAAATGGGAAAGAAAATGGGGTACTTTATATACATCCAGGATGTCCTAGCGGCTAACAGGTTTACAGAAGCCAGAGCAAAGAACAGTAAATTAATTTGTAGCATGTCTTGTGATGTATGTTACATTTGAAAAATAGCATTTTCAGAAACGCATTGTACATTCCTTGGGTGTTCTCTTACCCTGTGACCTTGTAGCTGGTCAGCAAGAAAAACAGGAGTCTTGAGATGCCTGGGAACTTTGCTGAGAATGTGGAGAGAATAGATAAGGTAGGTTTTACAGGGAGTTAGTTAGTTTTAAGCAGAGCTGGGGGTTAGGTTTTATAACACACAACACAGCAAAATTTGCTTTTTTATATAGTAACTACAAATTATGAGCTTTCATTTTTACTATTACTGCTATTATTTAATTCCCTTCTTCATTCCCCCCTTTGTTGCTTTTTATAAATAACACTTTAATAGAAAGCAACACCACTACTTTAATCATTTAAGTTACTGTTACCTTTAGAGGTTTGCCATTTTTGATTCGTTTTCATCTACTTTTTCCTTCTTTTTTCTTTTTTGATTTAATTTGATTGGTGTTTCTCTTAGCTTATTTACTAGATTTACTTAAGCATATTTATGACTTCGTAGCTGAATGTCAGGGTGGGAGGGTTAGTTGTATTGTAGAGCTTTTTAAGAGAACTCTTTTGGGAGGAATGCCTTTGTAGTTTTGGTGGACAGCAGGTTGGTGTGTTAGCTTATGGTAAGCGTATAGCACCAAGTTGAATTTTTTAGCACCAGGTTGAGAGTTTCTTTTCTGCTATGAGAGGCACAAAATGAACTTTTAGCACCTGATGGCCCCTTCGTGACTGTGGCTGTCTTAGGTTATCCCTCCTCTGAGGAATCTTATCAGTCTTTGGCTAACCAGCCATCTACCTGGGGCCAACCAGGGTGACAGTTTGAAGGTTGGAAGGCTGTCGGGGGCTGACCGGCAGAGCATGGTGGGTCTGGGAGCAGACCTATTACACATTTTTAAGTTGTTTTTCCTGTTGAGTTGCCTGCTTGGGAAAGGTGGTAATAGTAAGGCTTTCTGGGCTCTTAACATAATACTGGCTTTGTTTCAGCTTTTTTTATCCAGACATTTGCTAACAGTTGGGTTTAGCTAGATGAACATCCTTACGTAAGCCCATAGAAAGCACCACTGTTATACGTGTTATTTTGAGGTAGTTCTGTTTTCTCTTGAGGTACAGGCTGGTACTTAGTTAATGCCGTTAATCGGCTGGTGATTTGCTTGGCTACTACAGCTTGTATAGTTGACAGAATACTCCCAGTTAAGAGAGGGGTAAGAGGCAAGGAAGTATTAGGCATTTTCCTAATATGATTACTACTCCCGCTATTAGGGTTTTAGAACCTCTAAACTATAGAAACCATTTTCCAAAGAGGGAGTCTGGTGACTACCCTTTCCAGGTTGGTACTGGAACATGAGGTAGTATACGCATTCTGGCGGGAATTTTTATGACTGCTGTTTGTTATTATTAATTTCTAGACAGCAGTTTGATAAGTTAAACTTCTTACATACTTCTCCTTTTCGGGCTGAAAGATAATTTAACGCTAGTCTGTTCTGGCAAATGGCATTTTTTACCTTTGCGGCTACTATGGCTAGCAAATTTAAAGCTGTGGATGCTTCATTGGTTATGATTTTTAGAACCACCTGCAGCCTCATGATGTGGTTTATCATATAGATGGGAATGCGTTATTCCCATGATGCATTTTGCACCCAAGTAGCTGGGCCGTAATAATTATTTTCTCTGGGGGCTAGTCTGTGTATCTCCAGTTTCCTATTTGTACATTTATTATAATCGTACCAGTTTATAGCATTACTATTCCACAGAGGGATTTGAGTAGGCACGGTTTGCTTTTTGGAGGGTTGTAGGTTTTGCGATTATGCCATATGCATGCAGTTAGGACTTTTTTAACAAGGGTGTTACAGCAAGTTGGGGCTACAACTATTTTCTTATTTTGAAGAAATGTTTTTAGGACCTGTTAGGCATCTAAGCATAAGGACACACTTTCATGATGAGAAGCAGGTACCCAAGTTAGGTTGTAAAGGGTTACTTTTTCTGTTCTTTCATGGAGCTTAAACTATACCCCAGGTAACCTGGACGACTTGAATATCTTCTTGCCTCTCCAGTTATAAGTCTTACTAGAAATCAATACATTAGTTTTTTGTCTTTATGTGTCAATTTCAAGAGCTTCATTAATCCAAACCTGCTTCCAATGAGTAAATCCATTCTCCTTGTAGGTAGGAGGGTTTGGGGTCTTAGCTATGTATGCTCACTAGGTAATTGAGCGTACATAGCTAAGACCCCAAACCCTGGACCTTGGTAGAGTCACCAAGATAATATGTCCCTCCCTTCACTCTCACCCTGGTGCCTTCTCCAGATCATTGTATTTCTAGCTACCTTAATTTACTTCTATTTTCTTTATTTCCGTCATTTCTCTATGTGCGGAGGCAGAGATATGCTTCCATATCACCATTGCCAGTTTGCTGAAGAGAAGTGGAGCAACCCAACTTCTCACTCTCAATCCCTAGGCCAGCCTGACATGACCAAGAATCGCTGTGTAGTGAGCAAGGAAACCTGATCACGGTACTGCAGGATCTCACTTTGTGGAACTGTTGCTTTGCTATGTGCCGTCTTGTAGCAGACAGAGCTGAAAGGAACCTTAAAGATGAACTAGCTCTCATTTCTTGTTTTATAGCTAAGGAAACAGATTACTTGCCTTGGGCAGTATATCTTTATGCTCTTCTAATAGTCTTTGTCTAAGGTTGGCTGTATTGGCCTGCACTTATGACCTGTCAGTAATCTTTTAGCCCTAGTCTTATCTAGCCAGTACAAAAATTGAACTGCCAAAGGCACTTTTCTTTCCTGTAGTTCTGACAAGTTCTTTTTTTGTTATATACCATTGATATCCAGGTTCACATTAGAAATATAAGAGTTCATCATTGATGTCAGAACCGTGTGTCTTTCTTTTCTTTTTTTTTTTTAGACTGAGTCTTGCACTGTCACCTGGGCTGGAGTGCAATGGCGTGATCTTGGCTCACTGCAGCCTCCACCTTGAGGGTTCAAGTGATTCTCTTGCATTAGCCTCCTGAGTAGCTGGGATTACAGATGCCTGCCACCATGCCCAGCTAATTTTTTTGTAGTTTTAGTAAAGATGGGGTTTCACTATGTTGGCTGGGCAGGTCTTGAACACCTGACCTCGTGATCTGCCTGCCTCAGCCTCCCAAAGTGCTGGGATTACAGGTCTGAGCCAATGCACCCAGCCAGATCATATTTCCGGTTGGATTCTTTGTAGCCTGATTCATGTTGTAGCCCGTTCACTTTGGGGTCAGATTTCATGGCAACAAATTGGATCTGTTTTAATAATGATCAGAGATGCTGGATTGGTCATGTTGGGATCTTTATAACTCAGTATCCCAAATTGTGGACATAGGATTTCATGAAATAAAAATAAACCCCAACAGTGCTTCTTTAAATAACAATCATTATATACCCACAGTAAAACTATATTCCAATAATTCCATTAAAATTTGCATGCTGAGTTGCAGACTTGCTATTGGCAAGAGTGAAGCAAGTGGGTGAGTGAAACTGTTTTGATGTGGGAGCATTTTCAGATAGGAGTTTAGTTTTGATGAATGTGTCCATGCAGGAATTGGCCTCTGAGTAGGGTTACAGTATCTCCTGATGGGACCTGTCACCCATGTCTGGGCAGTAATGTTGACATTTGAGGCAGCAGGCAGGATGCCTGCTTCTAATGTACTTGAGTGAGTAGCTGAGCTAGCCAAGGGCAGGTTGAATGATTAATTCAGAAATGGGATTCTTAGTAAACTGAAGACTTTATTTGGGAACCAAAAACCTCAAAAAATAGTCTCTTCATTTCTGAACTGCGTATTTTCCCTGAAAAGTATGTATTTTTTCCCAGCAAAATTTTGTTGGGGGTTATGTTACTGAGGAATGAACAGAGATGACTAAGTGGAAGTATTATGTAAAGGCATACTGTACTCAAAATCTGAAGACCAGCAGCAGACTTAAATTCTGACTCTTGTTATAACTTTTTAAAAGATTTTGTATATGAATCAAGTATATGAATATACTGTATGATGGTGGATGAGGCTTTTCGTTGTACCATTGGTTTGAATTTTCAGGCATGGTTTGGCAGTGTGAGAACTCTATAACATTAAAAAATTCAATGAAAAGTAAATATATATGTAAAAAGCAAATAAAATTTGCATACTAACAATAGAACTTTGATTTAAAAGTTTTATTCATCTTTATTTTAACCACAATACTAATTGCTATTCCTAAAATATGTTTTTCTTTCTCCTCCTCCTTCATGGAGTATTAAATGTTTTAATGTCGTGGCAAATTCTTTTATTAGCTTAGGATTACTTTATATATATATGTATTAAGAAAAAAATTAATAGCAAGTTACAAGTAAATGTACATTTTTCTTGCAATGTATCTTTCATATTTCAAAGAGGCAAGTGGCAGCAAATGTGAAATAAGCATAAGCAAAGTGCTTTCATTTAAGTGCTTAGAGAATTAGTCAAGGAGCACTTCCCAGAAGTGTGTTTTGAAGAAGCTTTTAAGAGAAGGTACAAATATTCACTGGTGAAGAGGACGGAGTCAGAAAAAAGGGAAGTAAACACACATTATGCATTGGGAGCTGCATTAGAAGGGGAATAGATGCTAACAAAAATTAAAACATCTGTTGCAGGATGGTTAAGGAGGCTTTCAGCTGGTGTGGAGAATGGATGTTGAGTCATAGTCATTGGTAAAGTTATTGCAATGTCAGTTCAGCCTTGCTACCTACATTTTGCCACATAATGTGCTAGATCCTAAGGGCAAAGCTAAAGAGAAGGGAGAGACAGTGCTTGACCGGTAGGAACTTCTGGTCTTGCTGATGAGACAAGGCAACTGGAAGCTAAAGGAGGATCCTTGAAAGCCAGTAAGAGGAACTTGGATTTTATATGGTATGTGATGACAAGAGCCATTGCAGGTTCTCATGTACCATCTTTCCTCTATCATCTGCTCGGTAGGGAGAGGTCTGAGCTGGGGCAGATCAAACTGAGCAGGTGGCTAGGTTTCAAAAATCAATTTTTATAGCAATATGTAATCAGCAGAAGAGCTTTTTCCCACACAAAACTATTTTGAATCACTTTAGAAAAACATGAGCTGCCTAAAATCTTCTGTCCACGACTGACAATTAATAGAAAATCATTGGTTTGCTTTTGCAAACAGCACTTAATGTCAGTAGATTCAGGCTGTTTTTCAATTTTACAGTACATTTTTTTACTGAAACCAATTTAGGCAGCTATTTCATCCATGGGCTTTTGCAGTGGAAAGACGATGTGGGTAGAATAGAACAATGAGATTCCTTTTCCGCACCAAAATATTAGCAAGCTGCTAATGGTTCCATTTTGATACTGTCACTTTCAAAATAAAGGAGAGAGGTCAAGTTGCTTATGGAAACCTTTAGGAATATGTTTAGAATAGTGCAACTTTGTAGTAATCGATCTGGTAAATGATTCAAGGTTTGCTTTTAGCGCATCAGTTTATCTCCATCTTGGCTCAGCCTAAGAGAGAAAGTTTCCAGGTTTTTATTGCCTATCAATAAGTCCCAAGGTAATTGGTTTATGCTGTAGGAATGCAGACTTTATTTTTTCCCTTTCTTCTTGTTTTTCTTCTTTTCATCTGCCTCCTTGCTACTTGCAAACTGTTCTGTGATTTCCACTGTTTCCACTGACCTTTCAGTGGGAAGCCTTCCAAGGTCGTTCGTTTCCTGGAATGACATTTGAGGCATATTTAAGTGCCTTACAATATTTCTGGGTTGATTTGGGTTTTGGCCCACATGCATTGGTGGTAAGTGTATGAGAGGCACCACCACAAAAACAACAGGAGCCCTGAGGTCTGGAGGTAGGTTGGGTGGCAGTTGTCCACTCGTCATTTGAAAAGACTGTCCAGGAAAGGCATTGTTTAAGGGGTAGCTCTCTAAAGCCACCTGCGCTTTCGTGTTCGGATTCTGTTTTGTTTGGAGAAGTATATCAGTGAAGTAAGGTTTTATGCCTGTTATGGCATTGATTTCATACGCGTTGTGCCTGTCAGCCAGTGCTCTCCTAGTTAAAATGGGCTGGAAAACATGTGATCCTGAGATACCACTAACAAAGTTTTGGAGGAGAGAATGCCAAATCCCACCACTTATTGGACTCAAAATGACCTGCGGCCATAAGCTAGCCAGGCTCCGGAGAGCTTCGCGGTTCCATGCTGAGGCAGGAAAGTCCATCTCAGTATGATAGAGCTGAGAAAAATAAATACTAAGAGTGACGCCTGGATACGTAATCAGGAAATTGTACATTTTGCTGATGCAGCAGTGGTTAGCTTCGTTACAAGGGGAGTTGCTGGAATACAGAATGATATGCCTGATGCTGTCATTACTGTCTATGGCTGAGTCAAGGTAGCCATTCATTTCAAAGAGCATTGATTCTGGATGGATATAGTTCCCGGTGCAACTGCTAGCATGGCCCTTTTGCACCAGGCTACCAGAAGGAGTTTTTAGTTCATAAAATGTGAAGTGTTTTGTTTGATGATATGTTGGCCCATAAGGGAATCCAAAAATCTGGCAAAATTCTGTGCGGGAAATTCTTGCTTCTTCACCTGTTCGAATATGGTAAGGACAGTTAGCGCAATCCAGAGAGAAGCTTAGCCAGTAATAAGGTTTTACTATTGTCCCACGATTTGCTAGGTATTCCTCATATAAGGGCTCCATTGCTAGATTTACGGTCTTCTAGCTGCAAACCTAAACAAGGAAGAGAAATCATGTATAAAACCAGTGCAGGAAAAACTAAAGCTGATGCATTAATTTATTAAACCATACTTTCTTTAAAGGAAGTAGCATAATAAAGATAGTGATATATGACTAGGTTAAAGAGTTCAGATGCATTATTCTTTGAGACTCCTGGGGCATGGGGATGAAACAAAAGGGAAAGGCATTATGCACCTTTACCTGTTTCAGAGACTCCAAGTCAGTAAAGCAAATGGGTTAACAATGCAAGTGCTAGAAACAGACCGTCTGCAGTTAAATTTGGGCTTGACCAGTTATCCGCTTAGTGGCCTTTGGCAAGTTATTTAACACCTGGGAGCCACAGCTTTCTTATCTGTAAAATGAAGATATGAATAGTACTTACCTCATAAGATTGTCTTGAGCATTGAATAATATAAATGAATACACATAAAATGCTTATTATGTGCTTGCCACATAGTAAGGACTCAGTAAATATTAGCTCTTAGTAGTAAAAGTACAAATCCTAGGGTTATCTAGATTATTTTTAATTGTGGAAGTACAAAAAAAGGGTTTTGCATTTTGTTCATAATCTTCTCAGAATATGATAACATCTAATGTATTATGCAGAACTATTGAGTGTGCTTGCATTTAAAATCAACTCTTTCTTAAAATCACTGGCAATAATTTGGAGATTTTCCTTTTTTTTTGAGACTGGGATCATGGGATCTCTTTTTCTTAATGGTAGAGACTTACACTTGTGGAAGTGCCACTTGAGTATTCTTTGGGTTGTGGACACTCATTCACTGATATGTAAGAGTTTTCTTTCCAGTGAGTGGGTCTTGTTAGAGGATTTTTGAAAAATTACTGTTATGGAAAGCAAATATGGTTCTTTAGAATGTTTCAAATCAGCAGTTGCTGGGATATTAAACTCAGAAAGCTGAGATCTTTAAGTAATGATTTTTTCATTTAAACAATATTCCTTCAGTTGTCATTGTTCCTATAATGCCCTAGGAGCTACCTGTTTTGTTTGCTTTTGAGACAGAATCTTGCTGTATCGCTCAGATTGCAGTGCAGTGGCATGATCATGGCTCACTGCAGCCTCAACCTTCTGGGCCCAAGTCATACTTGTGCCTCAGCCTCCCAAGTAGATGAGACCACAGGTATGCACCACCATGCCCAGATAATTTTTTTTAATTTTTTTAGGAGGGACGAGATCTTGTTATGTTGCTGATGATGGTCTCAAACTCCTGGGTTCAAGTGATCCTCCTACGCTCCAGTCTTTTTGCTATATGTGTATGTTATGTATAATATAAATAAAGTCATGTTTTATACCCTGCTTGTTCACTTAATACTGTGCCATGAACATTTTCCCATGTTATTAAAAGTTCTTTAAAAAATACAATATTCATGACTAATTAGTACTTTATTATATAACATTCAGTTTCTTGCTTCTTTTAATTATTATAACATTTTGATGAATATTTCCATAAAGAAATTATCTATTGCATATATCATATAATAAATTTTTACTATAAAGAGTCAGAGATTCTTTTTTTAAAAGTATAGATTACTAGAAATCATAGTATTAGGTCAAACGTTGTCAAATCGCTTCCTAGTAAGGTGTACCAGTCTTATCACATTCTGTTGCAGTGTTGTTTATCCCACTTTGAGAAGTGAGCGCTGGTATTTCTTTGTTGCTGTAATGTGTGCCTTTACTATTTCTAGTGAAGTTGAACAGTTTTTGACATGCTTATTGTTCTGTGGTATTTATTCTTCTGTGAAATATATTTGACTTTTTAATCTATTTTTTGTTTGAGGATTTTCTTTTTTTTAATTGCATTTTAGGTTTTGGGGTACATGTGCAGAACATGCAAGATAGTTGCATAGGTACACACGTGGCAGTGTGATTTGCTGCCTTCCTCCCCTTCACCCACATCTGGCATTTCTCCCCATGCTATCCCTCCCCAGCTACGCACTGCTGTCCCTCTCCTATTCCCCCCAATAGACCCCAGTGTGTAGTGCTCCCCTCCCTGTGTCCATGTGTTCTCACTGTTCATCACCTGCCTATGCGTGAGAATATGCGGTATTTCATTTTCTGTTCTTGTGTCAGTTTGCTGAGAATGATGTTCTCCAGATTCATCCATGTCCCTACAAAGGACACGAACTCATCATTTTTGATTGCTGCATAATATTCCATGGTGTATATGTGCCACATTTTCCCAGTCCAGTCTATCATCGATGGGCATTTGGGTTGGTTCCAGGTCTTTGCTATCGTAAGCAGTGCTGCAATGAACATTCGTGTGCACGTGTCCTTATAGTAGAATGATTTATAGTCCTTTGGATATATACCCAGTAATGAGATTGCTGGGTCAAATGGAATTTCTATTTCTAGGTCCTTGAGGAATCGCCACACTGTCTTCCACAATGGTTGAACTAATTTACACTCCCACCAGCAGTGTAAAAGTGTTCCTGTTTCTCCACATCCTCTCAAGCATCTGCTGTCTCCAGATTTTTTAATGATCACCATTCTAACTGGCGTGAGATGGTATCTCAATGTAGTTTTGATTTGCATTTCTCTAGTGACCAGTGATGAAGAGCATTTTTTCATGTTTGTTGGCCTCATGTATGTCTTCTTTTGTAAAGTGTCTGTTCATATCCTTTGCCCATTTTTGAATGGGCCTATTTGTTTTTTTCTTGTAAATCTGTTTTACTTCTTTGTAAATTCTGGATATCAGCCCTTTGACAGATGGGTAAACTGCAGAATTTATTTCCCATTCTGTTGGTTGCCGATTCACTCTAGTGACTGTTTCTTTTGTCATGCAGAAGCTGTGGAGTTTGATTAGGTCCCATTTGTCTATTTTGGCTTTTGTTGCCAATGCTTTTGGTATTTTGGTCATGAAGTCCTTGCCTACTCCTATGTCCTGAATGGTTTTGCCTAGATTTTCTTCTAGGGTTTTTATCGTGCCAGGTCTTATGTTTAAGTCTTTAATTCATCTGGAGTTAATTTTAGTGTAAGGTTTCAGGAAGGGGTCCAGTTTCTGCTTTCTGCACATGGCTAGCCAGTTTTCCCAACACCATTTATTAAACAGGGAATTCTTTCCCATTGCTTGTTTTTGTCAGGTTTATTAAAGATTGTATGGTAGTAGATATGTTGTGTTGCCTCCGATGCCTCTGTTCTGTTCCATTGGTCTGTATCTCTGTTTTGGTACCAGTACCATGCTGTTTTGATTACTGTAGCCTTGTAGTATAGTTTGAAGTCTGGTAGTGTGATGCCTCCTGCTGTGTTCTTTTTGCTTAGAATTGATTTGGCTATGCAGGCTCTCTTTTGGTTCCATATGAAGTTCAAGGTGGTTTTTTCCAGTTCTGTGAAGAAAGTCAATGGTAGCTTGATAGGGATAGTGTTGAGTCTGTGAATTACCTTGGGCCGTATGGCCATTTTCACGATATTGATTCTTCCTTACCATGAACATGGAATATTTCTCCATCTGTTTGTGTCCTCTCTTATTTCGTTGAGCAGTGGTTTGTAGTACTCCTTGAAGAGGTCTCTTACGTTCCTTGTTAGTTGTATTCCTAGGTATTTTATTCTCTTTGTAGCAATTGTGAATGCCAGTTCATTCTTGATTTGGCTCTCTTTAAGTCTGTTATTGGTGTGTAGGAATGCTTGTGATTTTTGCACATTGATTTTGTATCCTGAGACTTTGCTGAAGTTGCTTATCAGTTTCAGGAGTTTTTGGGCTGAGACGATGGGATCTTGTAGATATACTATCATGTCATCTGCAAATAGAGACAATTTGGCTTCCTCCTTTCCTATTTGAATACCCTTTATTTCTTTTTCTTTCCTGATTGCTCTGGCTAGAACTTGCAGTACTATATTGAATAGGAGTGGTGAGAGGGGGCACCCTTGTCTAGTGCCAGATTTCAAAGGGAATGCTTCCAGTTTTTGCCCATTGAGTATGATATTGGCTGTTGGTTTGTCTTAAATAGCTTTTATTATTTTGAGATATATTCCATCAATACCGAGTTTATTGAGGGTTTTTAGCATAAAGGGCTGTTGAATTTTGTCAAATGCCTTCTCTGCATCAATTCAGGTAATCATGTGGTTTTTGTTTTTGGTTCTCTTTATGTGGTGAATTACGTTTATAGACTTGCATATGTTGAACCAGCCCTGCATCCCTGGAATGAATCCTACTTGATCATGGTGGATAAGCTTTTTGATGTGCTGTTGCAATTGGCTTGCCAGTATTTTATTGAAGATTTTTGCGTGTATGTTTATCATGGATATTGGCCTGAAGTTTTCTTTTCTTGTGGAGTCTCTGCTGGGGTTTGGAATCAGGATGATGTTGGTCTCATAAAATGATTTGGGAAAGATTCCCTCTTTTTGGATTATTTGGAATAGTTTCAGAAGGAATGGTAACAGTTCCTCTTTGTGTGTCTGGTAGAATTTGGCTGTGAACCCATCCGGACCTGGGCTTTTTTTGTGTGTGGTAGGCTCTTAATTGCTGCCTTGACTTCAGATCTTGTTATTGGTCTGTTCGTAGTTTCGACTTCCTCCTGGTTTATTCTTGGGAGGACACAAGTGTCCAGGAATTTATCCATTTCTTCCAGGTTTACTAGTTTATGTGCATAGAATTGTTTATAATATTCTCTGATGATGGTTTGAATTTCTGTGGTATCTGTGGTAATTTTTCCTTAATTGTTTTTATTGCATCTCTTTGGTTATTCTCTCTTTTCTTTTTTATCAATCTGGCTAGTGGTCTGTCTATTTTGTTGATCTTTTCGAAAAACCAGCTCTTGGATTTATTGATTATTTTGAAGGGTTTTTTGTGTTTCTATCTCCTTCAGTTCTTCTCTGATCTTAGTAATTTCTTGTCTTCTGCCAGGTTTTGAGCTTTTTTTTTAATCTTGCTCCTCTAGCTCTTTCAATTTTGACGATAGGGTGTCAATTTTGGATCTCTCCATTCTTCTCATGTGGGCACTTATTGCTATATATTTTCCTCTAGAGACTGCTTTAAATG